ACAATATAGAAAAAAAACATTCTGTTTTTTGCGTTTTTGTATATTTTTTTGATTAATAATTATCCATAATAATTTATTGTAAATACCAAGTTGTATTGTTGTAAGTTTGTAGCACAACTTATAACGAAATATATTCCTTTAGGCTGTAGTAAATAGTATTTAATCGTTGTTTTAGAATTGATATTGTAAGGCATATTTTTATAATGGATTACGATTTGGAAGATTTAGATCTTTATGGAATAATTAGGATTACACAGTCGACTATCGAGAAAGAGGTAATTCAATTTKTAATCATTTTTGTTTAACTATTAATATTTTCCATTTAAATCAGACTAAAACGGCATATCTGACGRAGGATCATCTTCAATGTCATCCAGATGAAATTTCCGATAAACACAAAGCAGCTCAATTGTTATCGCAGTTGTTTAAATTATTAACGATTCTTGCGGATATAGGAACTCGAGTTAGATTTGTTGCTTTTGTATTGTAAACATTATTTTTCATTTTATATATTTTTACTGATTTTTAGTTAGATAATCTCATGTTATTAAATTCTGAAACTGCTGAAAAAAAATCGTTTGAAGAAAAGCGTGATTCGATGATAAAAAAACAGGATAAATTGGAACGCAATCAAAAGGTAATCCTTTATTTTGTTAAATTTTTATTTTTAAATTCATATTATTTTACAGAAAGAACTGAAGAATTTAAGAAAAGAATATTTATCTCTACTTGCAACTGTTAAAGTCCGTATTAATGTGCTACTTAGGCAGCATGAAACTGAAAAAAAAAAGATTGGTTCGTTCAAATTAAAAGTAAAGTGGATGGAAAATGGAGTATATAATAAAAACAATTTAACAACATTGTTCTCAAAGGTATTTTTTCAAAATTATATTTCAAATATTACTTTAATAGCTACTTTTATTCCAAATTTATAGTATGGCTACGTATCAAATGTTTTGGTTCTGGAAAACAAACGTGTTGCTCTTGTTGAATACAAATTTAAGACTTCTGCTGTAAGTTATTTCAAATTAAATTATGGTGTAATAATTKTCCATGTTTATTCAAATATTCAATTTTATTRGATAAGTGCCAAAAAATGGGAAGTTGGTTATCCAATGTGTCCGCTAACTGTGAGTTTTCTGGGAGATTACRGACAAGGCACTRTAAATAGTTCAAATCACACTTCCAATCAAAATCTTATTACTAGCATTTCAGCTTGTCAAAATCCAAATGGCAAATAATATTGGAAATATTTCAAAAACTTCTTCATRTKCWWMAGTAATATTTTTTTAAACCATATTTCTCATATAATATTTATTATCTAAGTACAATTTTCATTTTCCTTAGACATTTTAGAATTGTGAAGCAATCATACTAAGAAATTTAGAGAAACCAGTTAATCTCAAAATTTATAATTCAAACAATATAAATACTAAKAAATCTAAAGTAGCATGAAAAATTTAAAGTATTTAATTTATATAATTATTATTAATTATTTTAGTTATTATATTCATATTAGGTAAATATTATACATAAATAATAATATTTTTTTTCTATTTTGATTGACATTAAAAATCATAAATTTCTACTTTACAATCAAAAAAAAAAACTTCAATTGTGATATGTATAACAATTAAAATGTTCTCCTCTTTGAATTTAATCAGTAGAAATCGACTACATACACAATAATTTATATTTTATATCATGAAATACAAAATATTATAATAAGATGTAAATGTATTTTAATAAAAAATAATATTTGGTACTAATTTATTGACGTTTCTTAATCATTATGTGTGTTTTGTTCTATCATTATAAAATCTACTTATTTTTTAATATACCAACAAAGTAAGTGAAGATATTTAAAAATTGATAATTTTTCACTAATAATTATAACTTTTTAAAATTTAGTTTCTATTTAGTGTAATAMAATAAATTAGTCACAACAATTAAACAATACCTTTAGATTAATAGTCCACCATACTGCATGTAAATATAATATAATCAATTTAATAATTGTGATAAAAATTGTACAAAGCAACTTACATAAAAAGTGTTCAAACTATGCCAATTACCTATAAAGAGTCTAGTAGAAAACTTCATTTTTAAATTCATTAAATAACAGAAACTACCCTAAAAAAAAAGATCAAAAAAATTCTTCTATATTAACGATTAGGTACACACAATAAATAAAGATACTTTTTTTCAGTAAAATTACTATAACTTTATTTCATAAGATAAAATAAAATGTATTAAAAATTATTTTTAATTTTTAAGTTATAATTTGGAAAATACATTATTTAAAATAAATTTAAAAAATATAGAATGAAATTTTTTAGGTATAGGTTTAATTATAATTGTCTACTTAGTTTATTATATACAGATTTATAGATATATAATTAATTTGTAAAATATTTTGTTTTAATTCTAAAATRTATTTGTGTGGATTTGAAACATTCATGAGGACGACATTGTACATTTTAATAATTCATAAATGCATACAAAATATACGTCCAGGAGTTCCCATGTTGTGGTTTTAGTTTTAATCTAGAGTGAATTGACCTAATATCAAAGTAAAATGTAAGAATATTATCTGTGCTCTTAC